ACCGGCAGCGGCCGCCGGGCCGCGTCGTCGGGGAACAGCTCGGCAAACACGTGCGGCGTCCAGCAGCCCGCCGTCAGCACGAGGCGCGTGCAGGCCAGCACCGTCTCCTGTCCCTCCTGCTCGATCGTCACCGACGCGAGCTTGCCGGCGTCGTCCTTGCCCACGCGCACAGCACGCGCCGGCTGGTGCAGCTGCACACCGCGCCGCAGGCCCTGCTCCAAGAAGTACTCGCAAAACAGCTTCGGCTCCACTTGGCCGGCCGTGCCGTCGTCGGCCAGCACCTCGACATGGTCGCCCGCCTGCCGGCGCAGCCAACCCGGCACACTCTTGTCTGCGCCCGCCAGCGCCGGCGCGGCCGTCGACCGACTCGTCCCTTGCCGCAGCCAGTCCTCGCCGCGTCGCCCGCCACTCGCGCCACCGGGAAGACGATAGCTCAACGCGGTCGACAGGGCATACCCCCACCGTGCGGCGCCGTTGTGCTGTGCGGCCAGTGCGGCGTGCTGGTCAAACGAGAGGGCGGCCAGACTGGCTGCATCGGCGGCCATCCAGTCGCGGGCCAGAAAGCCGCCGGCGAAGCCCGACGCGGAGGCGAACAAGGTGTCTGCGGTCTCGACGAGGTGGATGTCGCCATTGCCGGTGTCGTGCTCGGCCAAATAGTACGCTGTCGACACTCCGACGATGCCAGCGCCGATGATAACCGTCGCCATCCGTGCGGTGTTTATTCGATGCGTATTTTGACCGCCTTGGCAATACACGAGTCGAGTGGGAAGACAACGGGGAAAGCGACTCGGGTGGGAAATGGTAGTTGACAAACAACCTCGGAAAGAATGTGAAGGATTCGACAAGGCCGACGAACGAGTCAGGATACAGGATATGCAGGCACAAGTAAGAATTGACGATGGAGAAGGACGACACAACCGAAGGACGGAAGGGAGTTTTACTAAGGTCGGTCACCGGAGGGCTATTTATATTTATTTACACGGCGAGGGTAGGGCGAAAAAAGTACTTATAAAAAGAAAAGGAGCTACGCCGACGCCGCTTTCTCACGCCTCTTTGAACCCCACACTCTATCGAACCGTTCAGAATCGACTTCCAGCTCCAAAATTTGACTCCCGACCAAGACAACCAAAACAACAACTAAAAGCTACAACCAGGAATTAACAGTCAGGAATTGACAGTCCACACAATCCCACCTCACATGCACCGAGTACAGCAGTACAGCACACCACGACAATCGCCATGAGCAAGGTCGTCCTCGTTACCGGCGCCAGCCGCGGCATTGGTCTCGCCGTGGCCCACCACCTGCTGGCTCATTCGCACAAGGTCATGCTCGTGGCCCGCGCGGCGGAGCCCATGGCCGCGCTCCAAAAGGCGTTCCCGGACCAGGTGGCCTACAAGGCGACCGACGCCACCGACTACGCGGCGTTGACCAGCACGGTCGACCTGGCCGTGTCGACCTGGGGCCGGCTCGACGGCGTTGTCATCAACCACGGCGCGCTGACGCCCGTGCAGCGGCTGGCCGATGCCGATCTGGATGCGTGGAAGCGTCTCTACGACATTAACGTGTTCAGCGCCTTGGCTTTGGTAGGTGGCCCTTTTTTTGTGACGCGCGAACACCCATGCTCATGCTCATGCTCATGCTCATCTCACGCTACGCAGGCCAAGGCTGCACTGCCCGCCCTCCGCGCCAGCAAGGGCCGCATCGTGCTCGTCTCCACCGGCGCCAGCAAAAAGGGCTACGCCTCGTGGGGCGCCTACGGCAGCTCCAAGGCCGCGGCCAACGCGCTCGTACAGCACCTGGCCGTCGAGGAGCCCGACATTGTGTCCGTGGCCGTGGCGCCGGGCCGCGTCGACACGGACATGCAGAAGCAGATTCGCGAAGAGGGTGCCAGTGGCGGCATGGACGCCAAGGTGCTGGCAACGTTTGTCGATGCCTACGCGGACGGCAGCCTCAGCCCACCCGAGAAGCCGGCCGAGGTGCTGGCGAAGCTGGCGCTCGAGGCGACGCCCGAGCTGTCTGGCACATACTTCAAGTGCGTTCTCCCGCCCCCCCCCCCCCCCAAAATTCTACAATGTCCCCTCTACGATGCTAACAGAATAGCTGGAACGATTCGCACATGGGGGCGTATCACTGGTCGTAGACAGTACGGAGGATGTTACAAGTTGCGAGGACCGGCCGGGGACGACGAAGACTGATGAGGACCTAGACGTTCTGACTATGTTAGCATTGGTCTTTTATCATGCTGCGAGTTTTTATACGATAGGAATAGACGACACAACAAGGCAAAGAAGCGCATCAGTCGAAAGATGAAAAGCTCATTGATAGGTATCCACATGTAGTTTCGGTATTAGCATGGAATATCAAAGTGTTACATCACGCGCGCTCCGTTGCCCTGTTGTCGTGTGTGTGCTTTGTGTGTATCATGTTGAAGGTCTTACATTTGACGTTGTCGAGGATTTGTGTCAAGTTTGTTGCTTAGGTAGTGGAGTTTACCTGAAGAGTAAATCTTGGTACAAAGTTAGCGTTGGCAAGCACCAAATGCAAACTGACCCAAGGCGAGGGAGGAGCCGCAAAAGCAGAAAGTGAAAAAGATCAGGAACAAAGGTTTTTCTCCGTCATGAAATGTCGGTATTTGATAGTACATAGTTCGAGCATCATGTAGACTGCGAGGCGATGGAACACGAGAAAGGAAAAGAGCATACCACATGAACGTCTGCAAACGTCGAGAAACGTAAAAGGGTCTAAAATGTGTTTCCAGGTAGGGCATCTTTTCGAAAGTTAGCAACAACGCTCAGCTAAGGCTGGAAAGAGGCACGTCGAGAAGAGAAGAGCCGAGGACAAGTAAATGGAAATGGCCAGTATCAGAGACGTCCGTTTGGAAAGACAGTGTCAATCACCATGGTTAAGTATGCCTGGGGCGACGAAAAGCTCATCATGTTAAGGGCCAGTGGAGCGGACAGGAGAGGGAAGCGAAGATGGGCGAAAGGAGAGAGATAGGAGAGGGAGCGCATACTGACCAGACACAAAGAGTATTCACAAAAAAGAGTTCCAAATATCGCGAGTTGGCGGAATCGCGAGAAACAGAAAGTAAAAAGCAGACGAGGCAGCATTGCAACGCTTGTTCCAACGTCAGGCGTCCGAAAAGGAGTGAAGAGAAGAATCGACTGTGGTCAAAAATGTGAGAGAAGAAGGAAATACAGAGAGAAGAGGATTTGGCTGCAAAAGCCTTTTGTAGCTGGCGAGAAAAAAAAGAATCCCATAAATTAAAGTGGGTCGTCTCAGGGCGGTGAAGCAATGTCCTAAGAACTCCACTGCCTTACATAAGGATCGCGCTTGTCTGTTTATTTTCTGCCCCTCCCATGGCCAAAGAGAGCTTTGGCTATTTAAGTCCTCCAGGGTCAAGCATATGAAAAGGCAGAGGACCCGCCGCCCCTCGCCCACCTTCTACTTGCTGCAGACGTCGAGACGTTCCGAGGACAGCTCGGACAGCCAACACCAACAATCACTTTAGCGTCGCAGCTCCAATTCCATTTACAAAAACAACACGCCCAACATCCGCATCAAGAGAACGAATCATACGCTAAATCCTCCCGCATTAACGACCATCTATCCCTATTCTGTCGACGCGCTTTGTCACTCAACGTCCGTCTGGTCAATTAAGAGAGTGACAAAGTATTATTTCAGAAAACAACGTACCCGCAAAGAGACCTCGCTCTCATTATCCGGATCATCGCCAAATTTTGCGAGACGAAGCCTTCGAGCTGTCCACGACATACAATCAAGGCGTTCTGTCTACATTTCTTGAGCAACAGCTGCAGCCAACTCTGCACATTTCCGTTTATGTCGACGTTACAGTCACACAACCATCACCGCACAATGTCTGACCACGAAGGCGATTTCGGCGGTACGTCCTCCCATATATATGCTGCCTCCCACTTGCTGCCCTTTTTTTCTTTTTGGTCCCCCCCTTGTTCACACTCTAACTGTCGGCAGGCAACGACGACCTCTCCCTCCCCAAGGCCACCGTCCAGAAAATCGTCACCGAAATCTTGCCGCCCAGCATGGGCGTCGCCTTTTCGCGCGACGCCCGCGACCTGCTCATCGAGTGCTGCGTCGAGTTCATCACGCTCATCTCGTCCGAGGCCAACGAGATCTCGGAAAAGGAGGCCAAGAAGACGATTGCCTGCGACCACGTGACGCGCGCGCTGGAGCACCTGGGCTTTGCCGAGTACGTGGGCGCCGTGCTGGAGGCCGCGCAGGAGCACAAGGAGGTGCAAAAGGGCCGGGAGCGGAAGGCGGACAAGTTTACGCAGAGCGGCATGACGCTCGAGGAGCTGGAGCGGCTGCAGCAGGAGCAGTTTGCAGAGGCGGCGATGCGGCACGGATAGGCGGCGGCGTTTGTGCGTGTGGTGGTGACATTTGTTTTGTTTTCGTCCAGCATCGTTCTGTATTTTGGCGTTTGCGTAATGGCGTTTCGGCTGGGCGGCAATGGTGGTTTTTGCCCTTAAACTCTTACTGCGTTCATCTTCTTGTACAAGCACGATTCACTCTACCTTACTCACTTCTCAACATTCACAGCGCATGAAAACTTGGTATTACAAAAACGGAAATATATTGGCGGTATACAACTAAGGAAAAGTAAAAAGTGAAGTAATCAGGGAGTGTACACGTGCATTCTCGTTTGAGAAACTGCAGCAAATCCAAAGAAGCGTATGTTCAAAGGACAGGGTAAAATATGGAAATGGGGTAGTCGAGAAGGGTCAATAATAAAATAAACGCCAAATCTTCATCTGGTAAGAGACGAGATAAGAAACGTAAAAGAAAACCAAAAGAAAGCAGGCAGGCGCAATGAGATAGGAAATAAAAAATACGCATGTGTGTGTTTGTGTGATGTGTTGCGCTGGGCAGCTGTGTAGTGTTCCATAAACAAAAAGGTGTTCAGTCTGCTATCGTATCCATCAAGATCCACAAGGTAAAAAAGAGGCAAAGACTCTCCGTTTTACGCAGAGTTCGACTTTGTGTTGTCGTCCTCGTACGGTGGCAGCTCCTCGGTCGACGGAGCAGCCATCAGGCCAGCCTTCTCCTCGTCGACGGCCGCCTCGTCGCCGTGGCGGTCAACGGCAGCCGCAGCAGTCTTCTTGCTCTTGCAGCAGCGGCGGCGGGTGTGAGCGACAGCCTTGCGACGGCACAGCACACGCCACGCGCCAGCCACAAAGGTGCCGACAGCGACACCAATGATGCTAACGGCAATGCCGGCAGCGACGCCGAACAGGATAGGCAAGAGAATGTGCGTCACGAACTTGCGGGCCAGCTTCGCCCAGCTATGATGGCGCATCAGCTTGTGGTGGCGGTGGGGCCTGTCCTCGTGGTTGTCGTTCTCGTCGTCCTCGTCGTGGTGGTGATGGTGGTGGTGATGGTGGTGACGGTGCGGCTTGTCCTCGTCGTCGCCGTCGCCCTTGCCGCCAAATGCCTTGGCCATGGCCTTGCCGGCGCAGCCGCCACGGTGCGCCTTGATGCCGGACTTGATCAGGACCTTCCAGCGGCAAAGGAAGTTGGAGCACGCATCGAGCTGCTCCTTGAGCTCGGCCATGCGGTCTTTGGCCGGGGAGGCGGCGATCACGCCGTCGCCCTCAACGTCCACGCGCGCAATCATGAGGCCGCTCTCGGGCGTGCGGATCAGATGAATGTTGACGGCCGGGATGCCCCGGATGAACTCGCCATTGACCTGGATGATCTCGAGCGACAGCGTGACAGCCTCCATGCCGTTGCTCTCGTCCTTGCCGACGGCCTTGGTCTGCATGGCGTAGCCCAGAGGCACCTGGACGAGGTGCTTGCCGTGCTTACCGTGCTTGCCGTGCTTGCCGTGGTGTTTCTTCGGGTGGAAGTCCTTGCCGTCCTTGACCTCCTTGTGCCTCCAGTGCTTGCCCTCGAAGCCTTCGTCGTCGGCGTGATGCTTCCGGTGGCGCTTCTTCAGCTCCTCGCCGTGGTCATCGTGCTCATGCTCGTGCTCATGCTCGTGCTCATGCTCGTGTTCGTGCTCGTGTTCGTGCTCGTCCTCGTGCTCATGCTTCTCGTGCTCATGCTTTTCGTGCTCATGCTTTTCGTGCTCCTCATGATGCTTGCCCTTGTGGTGCTTTCCCTTGTGGTGGAAGTGGTCCGGCGCCTGCGTGGCCATCAGGCCGTCGCCGTTGATGTCGACGTTGGGGTACACCTCAAAGTGGTTCACCAGCAGGTGGTCGCCGTCGGCCTGGTGGTCGATGTTGAGGAAGAGGTTGATGTGGTTGTCGACGTTGGTCAGCGTCACGGTCTGGCCGTCTTGCGCCGTCTCGCCATTGTCGTCCTCCTCGTGGCCGTGGCCATGCTTGCGGATCTGCATGGAGCAGCCCGGGCAGGGCACCTTGACCTTGGTGAACTCGTGGTAGAACGGGTTGGCCATGGCTGCCGGGACGACGGTCCCAATCTTCATCGCGGGCGGCGCGATTGCCATCGCCTCGCGGTTCTTGCCGCCGTGGTGGCGGTGGGGGTCGTTGCCGCGCTGCGACTGCCGCTCAAACTCGACATCGGTGGGCGGCGGGAGCAACAAGGCAGACGCCGTCGACGACGCCAGCGCCGCGGCGAGCAGTGCCTTGGGCAACATGGTGGTCGGTGGCCGGTGTTTGGTGATCTGTGTTGTGAGATCTGGCAGGCAGTTACAGTCGATGCCACCAGCCAAGACTTTTTTAATGTCTTACACGAGGTGCTCGGGCGATCTTCAACGATGGAAAATGGAGTCGTTCGATCTCGACATCGAAATCGGATCGGGCGTGGGCTGGGCGAAATCGAGAGACGAAAATACAAAAAATCGAAATCGTTTGGCGATGTCAAAAATAAAAGAAAACGGAGAAAATGGAAAGACGCAAAGGAATGCAAAAGAGTCCGAAGACATACGAGACAAGAGGGTGTGAAAGGGAGGCGAACACAAATACGGGAGTACCATTACAAGGCAGCCGGGTTTGGATATGGGACATGCCACTGGAAATTGGGACATGACGAAGCCCATCCTCCACTGTTAGCGCATTAAACTGGAGCCTACGCCAGCGACTGTCCTGGTTTTCAGTGGGCAATGGCCAGCCCTGCGGCATGGTCGGAACACCCATCATACGAAGCAGTGACCCCACCAGCCAGGGGATCCTGACGTGGCTTTGGGCGTTACGGAATTGCGTGGCATGGACCCATAAAATTCCATGCGCTTACCTAAAACAGGCCGCACTAGTCTTGTTTCGGGCCTCTCACTCTGCCTTTGTCATCCATTCAGCCCCTCTGATTCGCCCAGTGCCAAGAAATTGCTGTTCTGTTCGGTGAGGAGGCATACGTAATCGATGCCTCAGGCCAAAAATGCACAAAACGCTCGGACCGATGGTTGCTTTGGAGTAGCATTTTCTGAATGAGTTGCACGTGCGCTGTCACGAGCTCAGCTTTTGTTTACTTTCTCCCGTTCTGCCCCATTCCAAAGCCAACGCTCCTCTTGCACTGTCGCATTTGCTCCTTTAAGGTTTTGTTTTCCCGGTTGTGACGGCATACCAATAATGCATGGCCAATAATACAGGCACCGGGTTTCCCAAAAAATATATTAACGAAACACAAAATTCTACTCCTTGCATTTTCCATGTGCGCATCGTAAATTGCCTTGGGATGCACGTAACCGTCCCATCTGCCCGCTTCGGTTGCCGGGCGATTTTCTAGAGGGCTGAAAGACTCAACGAAACACGAAATTGAATTCCATGGAGGCCATGCATTGGCTATAAATAAAAAGAATCAGTTCGTGTTCGTGATGATGTCACGTGCATTGAAGCCACTCAGGTGCAGGAGACCAGGTTGTTTCACGCTTCATCTCACGTTGCAATACAAGTGTCGACATAGAAGTCACTGCTGAGGAAAGTAAAGAGGCTTGGAGAATTGAATGTGAAATAAAGTCAAAGAAAAAGTTGCCCAAAAGCCCGTCTAAGTCCGTGGCGTCGTGCCTTTGCACTCCAACATTGTGAAATCCAGTGTAACATGTCTGCTTCCCTTTTCTTTCTGGCTTTTTGGCGGCTTTGCGCCGTGCCTCCTCTTCCTTTGTGAACCCAAAAAATGTGTTTTTGTTTTGCCCAGCCCAAAACTGATAAAATATCAAATGACACAATGTCGATCCAGAAGCAACAAAAAAAGTCCAAGTCATGACAGAATCGTAACGCAAATGAAACAAAAATATTAACAAATAAAAGTAGCGCTCCACTGCCCAAACCGTTCAGAGGATCACACACCGGTGCCCCGTCTCTCGTCGACGCCGCCGGACCCGGCGACTTGACGACGGCTGGTGCTGTGCCATCTTGTCCTCGACCTCAAACGCCGGGTCTGTGTCTTCGCGCCGCAGCATCTGACGACAAAGATCGACAAACACCTCGTCGACGTTTGTCCGCGTCCGCGCGCTCGCTTCGTAGTAAGGGGCATTCCATCGCTGTGAGAGTGTAAAGGCTTTGCTCCGGCTGACGCCGCGCTGGTCCTCGAGATCGGCCTTGTTTCCCACAATAACAATCGGTGTGTTTTCGTCGTCCTTGACGCGGATGATCTCGTCTCGGAGCATTGTCAGTTCGGAGAGCGACGATGGTGACGTGATACTGAAGACAAGTAAGAAACCTTGCCCTGTCTTCATGTAAAGATCTCGCATAGCCACTACTTATTGTTAGTATTTTTTGATTCCTCGATCAAAGACCAACATTTGCCACAGGTACATAATTTGTACGTGGTCTTCACTCAAAAAAACACCCGGTGCAACATGGTCTCAAAGCCCGTGCCAACGGAACGGGGCGTGAGCTTCACGCGGCGTCACGCATCACTACAGAAGCGTATGGGTAATTTTTGTGGGCCGTAGTCAGGACGTACCAAATTGCTCGGTCCCTGCGGTATCCAAACTAAAACACATAGGTTAGTGATTCCGTTGACGGTACACAACGCCGGAAGGCAGAATGAGGGGCAAGAGGGCACTGCTCACATCTCTAAGACAATTTGTCGTCCCTGTACGTGTACCATGAGAAGTGGTTAGTGTCTTCGGCTGTCTCGTGCTGGGACTCATTTCTTGTCACGGTAGCTCGCAGCTCGCAGCTCGCAGCTTGCGGCTTGTAATTGAGAACGACTCACATCAACGGAGACCTGTGTCCGATACGAGTCTTCGATTGTCGGGTCGTAGCTCTCAATCCATTGGTTGTGGACAAACTGGGCTGATGTCGGACAACACACTTGTTAGTACAGCTGAAATTGGAGGTGCGACGAAACGGCAAGACAGCCACGTCTTTTGGGCACATGCAAATACGCCTGCGCGAGCACATGGTGCACATGTCCAAGCTTTCGGTCATTCTGTCTTGAGAATATCCCGCCAGCAATGGCCAATTCTTCTTCACAGGCCAATCCGAAAATGCCCACCGGATGCAAGTGCGCCCTGAAAGGCACAAAATCACACGCGAAAAAGGCCAAACTCACCTGTCAGACAACTCTTTCCGACGCCACCTAACGTTGAAGTCAGCGCTTAGGCCTCGAGGAACACACGATTGGGGTGAATAGGTGGCGAGATCAGTTCAGGTTGCCTGAAAGCACAGAAGAAGACGATGATGTGCCGTAGGTGGGTGAGCGCAAAGTGGGAGAAAGCGCATATGTGGGCATGCGTACCTGCGCCAAGAACAACAATATGACATTCTCGACTAAATGTTCATAGCCATTGGGCATCAGCAAATGTGCTTCAAAAGTGGCTTGCATGTAGGGCCCGAGTGTAAAGATGTGCATGGAAAATTCAAAAGACAGCGCGTCTCTGATGCCACTTACCTGGGTTGGTATCGAGGAGCCATGGCTGGAGATGTGACGTGTGGTGGTTCAAGAGCCGTTCCTCTGAATTACTTTTCGTTTTCGAGTAACCCCCACGCCAGTTCAGGCCGTGGGTCGCTTTCGTTTGCGGGTGCCCAACTGGTCAATGCGCAAAACCGTTGTAATCAAGGGTGAAGAACGGCAGAGTCGAGCTCCAGGTGGAGGGTGGACGCCAATAAGGATATTCAAATTTTTCTGCGAGTTGCAAAAAGATGCATAAGATACGTCGAGGCGTGATACACGCGTCGTCAGTGGTGCCGTGAGAATGCGAATGAGGTTGGTATCGCTGCCGTTTGATTTTCCCCAAAATATGGAATGAGATCAAAATATAAATAAACGTAATGTGGAGAATTGTCGAAGCAGGGTACGGAGCTGGCCGAGAAGGTGGTGTGGGGTGAGCGTGGTAATGGAAGCCAAAAAGGTACAGAGTAGAGGAGAGATATGAAAGGATCAGTCGAAAAGGGGACCGGAAAAAGAGAGAGGGTCCAAGAGAAAGAATTGGGAGAGGGAAACGAAAGCAGCCGTTTGAGGCCTTTAATAGTGTCCCAAGGATTGTTGTCGGCACAATGGCGAGAATGGGTGCCGTTGCGTGTGAGATGCAAACTGGTGTGTATGCATGAGTATGAGAGACTGATGGAAAGTCGGCGTTGAGGCGCGTGTCAGATTTATTGCGTTCCGGGAGTGCAGGGCAAGCCAGGGCGTACGTTCGGAGTCGGGTCTCAAAGAGGAGCTACTTGTAGTAAGTTTGGCGGAGGTTTTGAGGCACACCAGTGCAAGGTGGAGGGAATGGATTGCAATGAACGAGGCAAAAACTGGCTCAGGTCGCGAGAGCGAGGCAAGTAAAATGGCAGGAGAGCGTGTGGTCACGGCTGAGAACGCGGATGACTGGAGATGAACAGAAATGAAAAGAAGGAGAAAAAGGAAGACAGATATATCTCAGCAAGGTAAGGGCGCTGAGTCGGTCTCAAGCTTGGTCGGCCGTTGTTGGTCGTAACGTTCCGACTTGTTGTGATGACATGTGCTGTATTTTAGCTGGCTGAGGCGAGGCGGCAAGAGAAATTAAGTCATGAAACTCAGGAAGGAGAAAAAAAGAAAAAAAGAGATACACTTTGATTTCTCTCTAAGACAGGCCCAGACAGCTAGTAGGAACAGGGGTCCAGTGATCGGCCCCGAAAGACTGGTGACTGGAAGCGTGAGGCGTAAGTGGAGAAGCAGAGCTAAACGGCTGAGACGGGCGAGACAGGCGGGTGGAAGAGCGGCGCGCGGCGCGTGTGGGCACACAGCGAGTGTATGAACAAATCAGTCGATGGTATGCGGAGCGAGAGTGTGGGAGTGAGACTCGGACACCGTTTGGTGAGCTTCCAAGTCGCAGGCCCAGCGATGTTTCAGGACGATATGGATGAGTGGCCTCGCTGGAGTTGGAGTGGGAGCCTGGAGCCAGGCAGGGGAGCTGGTCTTGTTTTGTTGACTGTTCTTGGTGTCTTGTTTGTGCTTCTGTCGTACGTGGTGTTTCTCGACGTTTGTTGTCGGGTTGGCGGTGCAATTTTGTCTTGATTTTGAAGGCAGAGCTCTCGTTATTGTTGATATTGCTGGCTCGGTCGGTGCCAACGGGAGAGTGAGTGAGCTTGTAATATTACCCGTACCATACCAGGCAATTATAAAAGGTGTGGTTAGTTTGGTCAGGAGTCTGACGAGGCGCGATGCGTAGTCTTTGCACACACGGAGAATGTGATGGACGAGACATAAAAAGCGGGAAGCAAACGAAGCACGGAAATGGCAAGGATTGCAGGTGGCAAGGTGAAGCTGTATATTTGGTGAAGGGCAGGGAGAAAGAGGGACAATAATAAGACCCCAAGACGAAGAAGGTGTTGGCCAAAAGGGAAGGAAGTTGTGGAAGGTAAGAGCGAGGGAACCTCACAAACTATTGTCCTATGTACGCCGTATTGCGGATGGTGCTGGGGAAAGGCGGAAGGTACGGACTACACATGGACACCTTGGCCGTGGCAGGAGCATAGACGGTCGGCGTGCTGCTTCCCCTTGCTTGGTCTATGGCCTTTTTGTCAATTCAAAGTCGGTCGTTCCTTCTTCTTTTGGCAGGTTTTCTTACCCCAGATAAAAATGATTTCAGCGCTACGAACAAACTGTCATAGTGGCGGCCAGCTGTCGGATTAATTCTTTGCTGGTAAATGCAACTATGGAGTACTCGTACACTGACAGTTTTGGCCCGTCGCCTCGTCAATCTTTCCCGATCAGACCTTTCGTCCGCCACCCCCCCTCTGTCGGGGTCGCGGTTAAAGCTGCTGCGAGTTGGTAGAGGATGAAGAAAGAACACAAATCGAGTTGTACAAAATGAAATCTGCAGGTGCAAGGGACAATTCACACCTACACATCCGTTACGACAAAAACCGGACCAGGTAAGGAAGGAGCAAGGGGTCGTTCAGACCAGGCCCGTCCAGGCCTTCCACTTCCAGATAGGCGAGGGCAAGCTCGACGAAGAAACGGAGAAGGAAAAAAATCAAAAAGTCCCCTTGCCAAAACGAGCACAGAAGCTGCGCGAGAAAGGAACGTGCATTAGCGGCCTCTTTCTTCCTTTTTGTTCTCTGCGATTGGTTTTTTTTTTTTTTTTTTTTTTCTTTCTTTTTTTTCACCTGAATCCGGGTACAGCAAGGAGGGTACCAGGGGGAAGAAATGGACATGGGATCGAAATCCGTTGCAGAGACAAGTCGACGTCGGAATCTGCAGGCGGGCACGAGAGGACAAACATATGGGGATGAAATACAGGGGGCCTGCAGCGAGTAGGGAAACAAGAGCAACTGAAAAAGAAACTGATGGGCGAAGAAGAGACCAAAAAGAGCGCAGCCTACCGACAGCTCCACCCGATGGAGACGCTACGGAGTAGCTGCCGGAACCCATTCGTTGGGCTGGGACATTTTAGGCGCATAACGAGCGCTGTGGTTGGGCGGTCTTTCCAGAAAACGGTTTAGTTGGGGGGTGATATGGCTCCTCTTTTGTCTCTCGTCTGCTTCTCTGTTTTGTTTTCTGCAGGAAAGCCTGTCTTGGAAAGGCGCGGCCGGAAAAGCAGACCAGAGGGGCCGGACGGAACGCAAGAAAGGGGAAAGAGGAAGGAGGTAAGCGCAGACGCAGGTCGACACGGAAAGAACGGACAAGTCAAGCCCCCCGGTCAATGTATTTCGACTCAAGTTTGCCGGCCGCCGATTCCTAAGATACCTTGACGACAGAAGTACTCCTCCGTACATATGCCACACTGAGAGACCGAGACGCAGGTCAAATCTCACTAGGATTTGTAAGTCATCACACACATGCTTTTTGCCGTCGTACACACCAGGGAAAACGACATATGCAAGAAGCTATGGCGAGCTTGAATGCGTTGACGCTTTCGATGTGAAGCTTTGGCAGCGTGCATCTCAGCTGCAAGTGTCCAGTGGGACCTTGCACATGAAAGGAACCGGGTTTTTTGTGCTTCTTTGTATTTTGTTTATTTATTTATTTTATTATTTCTTTTAGCTGCAGCATTCACACAGGTTGAGGCCGGCACGCCTGTGTTCTGCCGCGCAACTGGAGAACTAAGCTGGTTCAGTGAAATAATGACAGGCCTCTTTCATTCTTTTCTTTTTTTTTTTTTTTTTTTTTTGCTGCCTTCCATGCCTGTCTTTTCTGTCTGTGCCCTGTCTGTGCCTGATTCTATCTGACCTGTCTCCTTGGGATATTTTTTTCACGTTATTTTGTTAGGGTTGGGCTGGCGGTGTCCACCCGCGCGTCCATCCATCCAGGGGGACCGCGAGCCAGGCAGGGGTTTCCGTTACAACTATGGGGAGCGGAGAACGGAAGAAGACCTGAAGAGAGACAGTGTGAAACGAAAAGGGAAACAACAGCTCGCGGAGCGCGTCGCCAATGGCACTCCCAAAGCCATAAGACCAGACGCGTTTTGCTCTATTGTCTGTTCAGACAAGAAGGTACGCGATTTCTGAGGCTAGAAATGTGCAACGTGCTGTTGTAATCCGAACTAATACCTCTCTACCTGGGGGAAGGAAGGAGACGCATGTTGAAGAAACGAGGCAAGGCAGGCACAGAGATGCGCGAGACACAAGACGGCAGAAGGAGCCAGTTGTGAGTCAAAAAAGCGTGGCAAGTGCGAACTACAAGTGCCTGCCGGGCGAATGGCGGAACGGCAGGAGCAAGTCAACAACACACAGCAGCCCATTAATAAACGTCGAAAGAATAGAAACGAAGGAGTAGTGAAGTCGAAAGATGAGAAGGAGCAGATGGACTGTCCTACTCCACACGAAATAGGGCCGGGGAAAAAAAAACGAAAAGAAAAGAAAGCATCTCCACTGTGTCCCGTTCATCTTCCACGGATCGGAACACAACGGTGTTAAGTCGGCGCATGTACACGTTCAGGCCAATTATACACATCACATTTTCGTAGTGCCATGAGACCATTGACAAAAACACTCGACAGACGGACTGCGGCGATACTGCATCTCATCTGAGCAGCAAATTCATGAAAATCTACGGATTACGTCGTCTGGCGGACTCTGTACAGAAAAGGGGGAGCGTCAGAGGAAAAACCCTCACCGATCTCCGTACGGAACGGTATCTTCCCTTTTCGGGAAGGCCCCAGGGCCCAATTCAGCCGGAGCGATACATGCCTCGAAGTACGCTTTTACCTCCAGCCGCTTTTTTCCGGTTCTGAATACAACCAATCTTGGTTGCCATCCATGGTGTATTGCTCGAATTTTCAGTACAGCTAGTATTTCACGTTTGTTGACCGTTTAACACAGTCGGCTGCACCATTACACTTGCCTCCTCACATCTTCGTTACTTTGTTCTCACTTGTCTCTGTTGTATTTTTTTCTGCCTTTGTCCTCCCCTACGCTCGGTCGGTACATAGCGTGCTTTGCATTTGGAAAACCCGCCATGTGCACCATGGTGTCTGTGCGTATGGGGGGCTGGACCGAGCTGGACCTGAGAAACGATCAGCCAAGTATCCAAGAGTAAAAAAAACCCAAAAAATCCGGGCCAGAAACGGTCATAACCAAAGAAAGATCCAAAGCAAAAGCACTGACCACCTTTTCTTTTTTTTGAAATGTTAACAAACGTCACACTTCTGCTCATTTTTTGTCACACCTCCAAAGTGACGAGCAAACATACTAAAAATAGATTAAGTATCACGACTACATGCTGCCATTACTCTTTGCATTCTACAATACTGTTTGTCTGATTCTGAATGTGATATTAAGATGGATGAACCCCACGCTGAGGGGATTTTCTTATGTTTTAGCACTTGCTTCCTCAGTTGTCATATCATGCAACCGTTGATTGCAGTTCTTTGAGAAGGTTCCCATTGGACGAGCTCTACTGCGCTTTCATATGAAAAGCTTTATAGTTTTGGTCCATTCTGTGGAAAACAGAGACAAGAGCAGTTCGTAAATTAGGAGTGTACTTACTGAGGCCACGCAAAACTGCAATAGTGAAACATGGCAAAGCTCGGCGGTGCAGTAACCAATGGAATGAGCAGAGTTTTGGAAGATAATACTGTCGAGAAGGAAATCCAATGACAGGTTAAGGAGAACCGCCTCCAACTCTCACGAACGCAGCTCACTGGACGAGAATAGAGGAAGGCGGCTACACATACGAAGCATGCACGACATACGAGATCACAAAAACGTATACGAGTCGTACGGAAAGGGGAAACGGCCAAGGCAATGCTAAGACCCGCGGTGGCAAAAATACACCAGCTGCCTACTGCCCACGCCAACGACAATTTGCGAGAGGGGCGAAACAAGGTAATCAAAGCAGCCATGGACAAGCGACAACTCACCTCTGGACCCGGCTGTGGCCACAAGTTCAAGGCCACGATCATTGGCACAGGAGAACCGCGACCCGCAGCCTTATGGAGCCTCTGGAGCCACCTGCAAGTGCACGCGCCCTCTGGGGAACATATGGAGAATGCTCCGCTGAGGGGAAGTGAAGTGGAAGAAGGGTGTTGGAGCGAGCAGAGACGTGAGAGGTCAGAAGAGGCAATCAGAAAGGGTAATCGTATGGACGGAGGCGAAAAGGATTACCTCGATCTTACGAACGAATTCTGAGTAAACCTGTAAAGCAGAGGCGACTCTCAGGAGATACTGAGCCACTTCAGCTCTAGAGGTAATCAAATGCTGGTGAAGCTGGATGAATGAGCGATCAGAAAACATGAGGAAAGTTGGTCAGTGCGTTTTATCGTGGGCCCCGCGATGTTGACTGTTTGGAGCAATACGACATCAACGTATTTATGGCACGGTTCGCAAAACAAAAGCAAATTACGATGTACTCTGTACTATGTCTGTTCGATCAACGGAGGCCTAGATCGTGAGGACCTAACGGATGGCCCAGGCCAAGTTTGACTTGACAAACGCAACTGTGAGTCAACCGTAGAGCTTGCCGGGTGGTCCCATGTATTTACCAGTCATGTATATCTAGATTCGGAAAACTTGCGTGATGATGGGAGAAGAGCAGACTGATCAGCATCGTGTCTCGGCCAATCTACACCAAGCCTTCTGTCCTCTCTTCCTCTTGGCTTTCTTGGCTTATCTTCTTACTTTTCATTCCCACTTTATAGACACAAAATGCCCTCGCTTCGCTTTGCGGGAAGACTTATCTTTTCCTAACACTCGGAGTGTGTAATCCTGTGTTTCTTTGCTATGATCCCCGCCCGTGATGAAGCAACTATTTAAGTTGCAAAATACAGCATTGACATTAGCGAAAGAATGGCGTGTCTCGACGTTACGGTGACATGGAGAAAAGTAATGTGAATTAAACCGGACTCTAGTGGATCAAGAAAACATGAATGTCAATGTCAAATCATAAACAGATACCGACTTTTTCAGTTAAATTACGTTGATTGTTTTTGAAATAATATTAATCGACAACATTCTACCCAGATAAAATAACCTAAAATAAATAAACGCAGAAAACTTTGCAGATTTGTTTAATATGCTAAAATTTATTTTGTAACCAATACAATAAATCATCGTTCTAAAAATTATACAGATATATTTTAATCATCTCAAAATCAAACTGATATCAAACCGGGCAGACTTCGCTATGCTAAAAGAACCGGGAGTATTCTAAAGCAAAAGACACCAAAAAGAAACCAAAACGAACCGTTCAGGACGTCCGCTCGTCATTAAATCCACCTTGTCGGCGGCCGTAGACGCCTACCGCTTCTCGTCAAAGTCGGTCTCGACTTCACCCCACTGTGTCGGCGCCACGCTGTCGCTGCACGATCGGCTCCGGCAGACGTCGTCGGCCTTTGTGGCAGACTTTGGTGGCGCCTGTGCTGTTGTTGCAATGGCGGGCGTCGACGCGGCAGATGTAAATACCGAGGGCCCCCCGTACAGGTAGGGTGGCGATGCCAAAGTCTCGGCTACCCCCAACGTTTCGCTCGGCATGGCCTGCTCCTTCTTCTCGTCATCGACGTTTTGCTGCGTAGCAGCGGCCTCCAGGTCCGGGTCCCGTGCGTCGGATTGCTTCGTCGACCGGCCCATGAAGCGGTTGCGCCACCAGGCCGACGAGAAGCAGGGGTGCAGGGGCCGCTCGGCAAACGGAAAGTTGTCAGCCCCCCTGACGGCGATAATCTCGGCGGCGAGCTCGTCAAATGTTTTGCCCTCGGCCTTGGCCTGCTGGCGGAGCTTGCGGGTGCGGATGCGCCAGATAATGTGCGACAAAAAGATGCCAATCTCGAGGAGGGCGCAGATGATGTAGATGACGCCACCGAGTACGTCAAAGGTATTTTGGGCAACGAGGGCCATGAGCGAGAAGAAGGCGCCGCTCCAGTCCATGGCCAAGAAGACAAAGTTGATGCCAACAATGCGGCCGCGGCGCTTGTAGATTTCAAAATAGGGCGGGACGAGGCCGGCGGCCAGAAGTATGGAGGCAATGATGCCGACGACGATGGCAGGGGCCTCGTTGCCGCGTTCGTAAATGGGCCGGAGGGAGAAGATGAGAGCGGCCTCGACACCGGCAAAAATGGCGGCCATGGCCAGACCAGCGAGGGTCGCCTTTTTGACGGACCAGCCGTTCCCGTACACCATAATCTGGGACCAGCTAATGACGCAGAGGGTCATAAAGGCCTGTGGCTGGACTTGGATGGGATAGTTGAAATTTTGGATGATGGCATAGGCACCAAACGGTACTCCACAGACGCCCCAAAGGAACATCATGAGGGCCGGAAGGCCGTCCGTCTTCTTTGTTCGCCAGTTGGCCCATATTCTAAAGTGTCGTTAGCAGTCTTTGGATGTGAGACATTCCGGGTTCCCGGATCGGAGATATCATTACGCTTTGCTCGTGAAATACGTACTGAGGTACCAACTGAACACACCAAAACCTACAAACAGAAGAGCCATGTTAGTCTCAGAGGCAAACGAAAGTGGCCGTTCGAGTTACTTGACTGGATCGAGTCTTGTCCGACGGTGTCACCTTGCCGTAGCACAAAGTTTGACAGCGGGGTTTTTTCTATGCGGGTTCTTGGTACTCACACTGTCACGACATGTTAGCAGCCGTTTATGATATATGACAGAAACCGAGTCAACTGTTGTTGGGAGCAATAAAGGGACGGCTTACCTGTGCCAATGGTCTATGTGCGGGGAACAGATATCATGTTAGCAAATGCTGTGCTTCGCCAGTCGTGTCATGCCTGCAATTTGAAAGCAACACGAAAATATCATTTATATTAGAAAAACTTACGCCTAATACATTGGCGGCCTGGAAACGAGGGCATTAGTATATGTTTATCAGACGGAAACTACGAGTATGAGGCAATACATACCACTGGAATACTTGTTTGGGGTGCCATTGTGGGCGGGGGCGGTCGTGGCCGTGGCCGTGGTCGTAGACGAGAATGGCAGATGATGGTTGGCAGGTGGAGAGGAAACAAATTCGCTCTATGAAGGGCCGAGTCAATGGAGTGAAGTAGAACAACCGGCCCCGAAAGATTCTGACTAAGGCAGCACGCTAGGTTGGTTCAGTGGTGTAGATATCCTAACGACGGGGAGTGTTGGTTGTTTGCCAGGAAAGAGCGACTGTTTGTAGGCTTGGGATGGATGTAAGTTCAAAGCCAAGTCCATGCCAATTTCGAAGCCAAGACGGAAAGAGCGACTGAGCCAAGGAGTCGGATGCTGGGGTACTGGGGAAAGAGTGAAACAGAGGCTCGCAAGCACAACGATGACGACTGGGCTATATAACCTCGTGCGACGGGCAACACGATGTGACAAATAGAAGAAGGAAAGCAAGAGGAGAAGCTCTAGTTTGGTTATATGGATGTGTCCTGTATGGTTGTCACAAGTGTGTGTGGGGGGACACCAAGGAAGACGTAAAAAAAGAAAAAAATAGGTAATAAATAGTAAAACAATTGGAGGCAAGATGTGCGTGGGGCAAAGTAGAAGGAACAATCGACAGAATCTCCGAGGAACACTTCGAAATGAACCAGAAACGAACAAAACTTCCTGCAAAGGTCGTATGTTCTTCCCCAATTCTGCAGGGCCGTTACCTTTCTCAAAAATGACTGAAAAGAGTAATCAGCCATATTTTGTTCGGCGCGGGAGTTGTGGACGCTTTTCTGTTGCCATTAACATTTCTCCAACGTTCCTTCCTCGTCTTTGACGCCATCGATTTGCAGTGCTTGGCCGTTTTTTCTTTCCTAATAGGGCTAGTACACACGACTGGACGAGTGGCCGCCCACGCGACACCCCACCGAAGGTCCCCTAAAGCACCGGGTCAGGCCCACATTCATGACTCTGCGCCGGGCTTCTGTGGCCACAGCGGCCTCCTGGGGCGAGAAGCACGACAATAACACGACAATTACAAGACGACGGGCCGGGAGAGACAAGGCTTTTATCGGGTTCGATAGGGTCTCGTACGTTGCCAGGTTGCTTGAAGCGGTAAATTGACGAATAAGAAACTGGAAGGATCGCAACCGAGAATCGCAACGGCGATCGATAAGTGCCAGGCATCAGATATCAAATTCAGATCAATAGTCAAGCTGCCTTGCTATTGGAAATGCGGGAGCTTCCACCAGAGGTGAACGGATCACCCGTCGTTCCTTCAAGACGCAAGGCTCAGACAAAGCAGATGGTCGAGCATCACCTTTTTTGCCGACTCCTATGAGCAGCTTTCATGACCGCTGTCCAAGTTGTCGTCTGGTGTTGAGATTCAGATGCAGCCTGTATCATACCGGTAACATGATTTATTGCTGGATCCGAGCCCGGCCTTGGCTTTATGACCTTCAGTTGTCTTATCATGGACAACTCACTAAACGTCATGGGCGGTTTCTAATCCGGATCTGTTGTCGAGAAGCTGGAAGGCAAGGCGTTCAAACAATCTTTAACCAAGCATGAGTAGGCTTCAGACAGAGCGCTGCAGATAAGGGTAAGGAAAGCTGCACTGCTATTCTGAACCTTGAACAAATTTCCTAATTGGGATATATATCGAGACATTGTGGATAAAAGGGACAGTGAGACTCAGGAGAAGCCTGCTGTTGGTTGCGGGACAGGCTTCTGGATTTAGTACAGAAGTCCGGAAATACCGTAATCGGTCCTCCGTTGTAAATTGCTGGACGGAAGCCCTGTAGGCTGCGACCATTATTTTTGGTGACCGCCTCGAAGCTCACTCACCGCCTTCTAGATCGGCAAAATTCACCCGGCAGAACTAAGAAAAAAATCGACATTGCCTTTCCGTCGCACAACACACTGAACAAGTAGACGATTTGTACCCAGACGTCACACATGACACCGCCATCCGACGACCATTCGCACACAACATAACCATGTCGGGTCGCCAACCATTACCGCCCCCAGAGCCGCCCAAGCCGACGCGGCCGCCCTTTAAGAAGAGCTTCCAGGGCAAGCGCAAGCGCGACGATGCCGGCGGCGACAATGTCAATGGCTTCGTGCCGCCGCCGGGCGGCGACCGTCGAGCACCGCGGCCCAAGAAGCAGAAGAAGGAGGGAGACGACACGGACAAGCTCAGACAACGACAAACACCGCCGCCGCCATTGAGTGCCGCCGAGAAACGCGCCAAGTTCAAGGCCAAGAAGCAAAGGGCCAAGGAGCAG